ACAATCAAGTAAGTAATGTAGTTTTTAGAAAACGAGTACTAGGTAAAGATGGAAAATCAATTGACAACTGCTGAAGATCCACGGATCACGCCCCAGTAGACTAGGAAGCAGCAACTGTCCAGTGCTTCCTGGTTTCCAATAATTGTTAAACTGAGATAACTTTGCGATCTAAGCTATTGAAAGTCAACAATCATCATAGAACTTTGATGCTGCTAGTAGTTGATGTATTCTGATAGTTAGAGTTAAGTGATGCTTTAATTGAAATTGAACATTGTGTTAAACTAAACAAATACTTTCCAAACCTTGATAATCTTACTTAAAAACTAAGTTAAAAGAATAAAACGCATACTTAGATTGTTTCATAATGGTAAATATTATTAGGAAATAAGTATGCAGATTTTTACCCAGATTATGTAAAAGTCAACTATGATAAAATTACAGACTTATAATGCGGTATTTAGCAAAATATACTTTTCTTAATACACATAATCTGGGTTGTAAATAAATTAAACGAATGAACTTTTCATATGCTTAGTTATGCATAGAACTTGAGTGTTACGATGCACGTCACCACGTCAATTGTTACGCTTGAACTATTACGAGTTCACCTTAGTCGTTAAACGAGAGTGAGGATGGATGATCCGGCGACTCGACAGGCTACTCTAATCCGAGCGTCCCAACCCACTAAGTAGAAGAAGAAGACTTGATATGGAGTAAAAAGTTGTATCTACAAGCACTCAGAATGTACGCAGTCCGAGTTCAGAAGAGGATAAGGATCCCGGACTAAGGATCCGGATCATAAAACGTTACAGATGATGCATATTTATACAGTTAAGTCGAATAGGAAACAACATTTGAAGTATATGATATTAATAGTTAGGACAAGCAATAGGAATTAACCAAAAGGAATTGACCAATAGACTTTAACTTACAGAATTATTCTCGTAGGGTATTTCATGAATATCCTAACATTGAGTAAAATATCTGACTGGATCTTGGTAAAGGATGTCAAAGAGCGGATCTGTAATTGGGATATCTTGACTTCAAAATACATTGCCGAATAAAGAACTAAGTTAATTGATATTGGGGAGGGGGTTTCAAACACATACTTATGACCGCAATAAAGTAATAACTTTTAGTGGATGACTTACATAGAAAAGCTGGAAAACTGGTATACGTAAACGGAATCGGTCATTATTGGTAATCTGTCTTTCATGACAAAGCATATAAGCAGGTAGCGAGGTTATTTTATGTGAAAATCTACTACACTTATAAAGTGATCTCGTCAGTTTATTTTCAAGTATATCATTAAGACTATTCACTTGTAAATTGAATACTTATAAAATTGTTCGATATACATTATTTAGAAAGGTTGATTTCAATTAATCAAATGCAATGCAGCGACTGATAAGTTAAAATTTCCACACTAAATCGGCACAGTCAGATGATCAGAAAAAATTAACCACAGATAATGTAATTCGAGGAAAAGAATCAAATCATGGGATAAAAAAACAAGTATAAGATTCATCCTTGTTTATTGATTCATCCTTCAATTATTTGAGTGGTATTTTTTAAATCCAACCTCTCGTTCCAATGTAAAGCTTATTAACAAATGGAAATGATTAGCCATCCTACTTAGATCATAGTTGATTTGAGATAGTAAATCACCATAAAGTTTATTGTAACCACACTATTTACCGCAGTTTATTCCATTGGAACAAGATCTACACCCAGCTTCCTCAAACCGAAATAGTTGAGGTTGAGATTCAAATTTACAGTCTAATAATTGAAAATTGAATTCTATTACTACCAAGCCGTCACTTCACGCCCCAGTGGTCCGATGGTAAGGCGTTCGCCTACAGTGCCAAAGGTCCCGGGTTCGAATCCTGCGAGGAGCAGGAGTCGTGGATGCGCACTGCTGATGAGTCCCATACCAGGACGAAATGGCCGTCCAGTGCTTCCAGGTTGCTAATGGTGGTCTAACAATGATTGATTGATGATTTCAAGTGTGTTAAATTAAATGCTTTACTTTATCTTCAATTATCTATTTTGTTTGTTCAACATAACTCATGGTCATACTTGAAAATACGATAGATAATGTTGCCATAATTTGTTGAGTGTTTCTTTGATAATAATACGATTTTGGAGATTGTTGAGTTACTTCATTGAAATTATGAATCGATCAATGTTCGGTCAGCATTAGACATTAACACTATTAGATACCGGCTCATTATTCCAAAGTTTAGGCGTCTGCGCACAAGACCGAACGTCCTGGATTCGGATCCTCTGAGTTGCCGGAGTCGTGGATGCGCACTGCTGACGGCTGCCATATCAAAACGAAATGGCCGTCCAGTGCTTCCAGGTTTCCAAAAATGGTCCAACATTGATCGATCCATGATTTCAATAAAGTTTCTTTCATAGTAAAACCTAATCTGTATTCTCTACTACTATTACTAATTTCAGGCATTGACAATATTTAAAAGTTTAGACCAACCGAAAAACGATAATAACAATAACAATAATACTAATAATAGTACTAATGACAATCAAAGTAATCAATCTTCTTCTACAAACGAAGCAATGATGCATCAACATGATCAATCAATTTCTGACAACAATCATCATTTTAATATTTCCAATTATGATGACAATAATAATTCAGACTATTACAAAACTGCTAAATACCCTTTGAAATCTCGTTTATTGTCAAATAAGAACAATACAATGAAACATTCAACGTCGCATACAGGAACACATGAAATGGATGACTTTTCAAAAACTTAATTAAGACGGTGAAGATACAAAAACAGAAATCTTCTGTTTGTAGAGAAGAAGAAGAAGAGAAAAAAAATACATGTTTAGAGAGAACACAAAAGAGGCGAAGAATTCACACCATTTTTTTTTATCATGCTCTTATTCAAAATGTGAAATGATGTGATTGGCTTGTGTAAAGTAGTTGAATACATATGTAAAAATATTCTATCCCATATATGTTTATATCTATCTATCTATCTATCTATCTATCTATCTATCTATATATATATATATATATATATATATATATATATATATATATATATATAATTGCTTAATGTTTAACTTTCATCTAATCGGATAATGTTTAATGTCAATAAAGAATATATAATTGTGCTTGACTTTGCATATGTCCTGTCTGCTTAACTTGTTCACAATAATGATATATCCAAGTCGTATACGAATTGTATCTAGGGTGACGTATGCTTCAAACATGTTACATGTTAAGTGACTGACAAGCAAACTGGAAGATGTTACAAAGTATTAGAGTTCAGTCAGATTACTAACTCTGGCATTAATCAGTTAGATTCACTTGTTATATAAGTTATGTAAAAAAATACGTACTAGTCAGTCAGTCAATTACAACGTAGAACTTCGTACATGAGTACGTAAGTTCAGGTTGCCATATCACCACACATTAGCACAGAGACGCAACTGTCAATTCAAATCCCATATTGGTAGAGATAGTAGAAGTATTACTGGTAATGAAGAAGATTAGAATTTGAAGATATTATTCAAGAAGTATAATTCAGTGAGATAAGTTTAGAAAGACAAAGGTAGATGTGTTGAGGAATCCAGAAGATAAGGATTCGAGAGAACACAGCGAGTGGATGCACCTGCTCCATTGCAAACGATTTTGAGCCATGTCGTTCAAGGTCTCTAACCATTGGTGACTTTCGTCTCGCGGACCCTATAGCTTACATCTCCCAACATGACTCAGTCCACTTGTTAGTGTCTTCATGAATTTGTGCCATGTTTTGATCTGGTCGCCCCTAGATTTCTTCCAACCTACTCCTACACCACGAAACATCGCTCGTCGAGCCAGTCGGTGATTAGGCATACGTAATACATGTCCCAACCACATTGAGTAGTTGCTTTTAGTCTCATCGTTTTCCAATCAACCTGCCTGGCGTGGTAGAACCTACAGGAACATATGTTTCAGCCATTATAGCTCGGTTGGATCATCACGATAGGCAAGCCCAACTACCACGTCAAGGTAACAGCTACGAAAATTACAGAGTTACTCAGTAAAATAGGAAAACCATATCGTAAATCGTTAATTTGCAAAATATCAGTTCATCATATCGAACTGGATTGTTCCTGTTGCAAAACATCAATCCATTGTCACTATTCATGTGTTCCATACAAATTCCATTGATCTTCCCTCATCTTCTGCTGCCAGACATTACGTTGACACTCACGTCATATACTACTTATAAGTAGCTCGCACCACAACGTGAGCAAATTCTATTTTGAATTAGTTTCAGAACGTTAAAACTTTCAAATTAGGTCAGATGATCTAACAAATTTCCTGGCCATTCTGCATGATATATGTACATTTAGTGACAAATATTCTCGTCTTATTTATTCGTTTTCTGTAATTCGGTACATTAATTGGCGTGTATCAGTGTTGCGTTGAAATAGCTGACGTTATTGAATAGTAAGACGGGTTTATAAACTTCTGGTTCTGTATTTCACTTACTTTTTATGCCTACCATTATGACAAATTGTTAATGCTAGTACATCTCATACATACCATCCTTGAAATTTGATCTGTTAGGACTAATTGTAATAAATAAAATGTGTTACTGCGGTGTTTCATGCTTAAATAAAGCGTGAGGCATCCTAATGGTTTAGAGATAATGTCTCACACTAGGAAGTTGATTGATGGCAGTTCAAATCAAGGAGGGCATATCATTCCCGAGAAGATTGAGGGACATCTTTTTGAATAGTAACGAAAGAAAAATATGTAAAACAGAATAGAATAACAAATGTTAATCTAGTAGACGAAAATGTCAATCTAATGTTAGCGTATACAATGATCGATATGAAAAAAATTCTGAAAGCTAAAAAATGTAAAAATCCAATGATAAACTGATGTTTCTTAACCTTTTTTTAACACGACCTAAATCAGTTGAAAGTATTCTTGAATATTCTTTAAAAATCAAACTAACTAATTCAGTAATTATGCTAAAAGTTTCACTAATCACGAATGAGACTTATAAATATCTACATCTGCTCTAAATGCAACACAGACTTACTTACGCCTGTTATCCCCAATGAAGCATAGGCTGCCGACCAGTATTCTACAACCTACTCTCTTCTGGGCTTCCCTTAACAGTCCTGTCCAATTTTTGTTCATTATTCTCATATCTTTCTCTATTTCTCGGAGTAATGTGTTCCTTGGCTTTCCTATTTTCCTTTTACCTTGAGGGTTTCAACTGAGGGCTTGTCTTTTGACGAAGTTGGGTAATTTCCTGAATGTGTCCTATCCATTCTCGTCGCTTCTTCCTTATTTCCTCCTCCGCTATGATGTGGTTTGTTCTCTCCCACAGTATATTGTTGTTGATGATGTCCGGTCAACGAATACGAAGTATTTTGCGTCGACAACTGTTAATAAATACTGGATGACGGCTTTTGTAGTTCTCCAACTTTTCGCCCCATACAGTAGCACTGTCTTGACATTCGTATTAAAGATTGTAATTTTGGTGTTAGTTGACAGTTGTCTTGAGTTCCAGATATTACT